ACTCTGAACACTTTACCACTATGAGCATAAAAGTATTTTGACTCTATGTCAAATTGTGCATCACTTCAGGATTTTTCAGTCAGTACGTTTTAATCAGAAAAAAATTCTCTACAAGATACACTAGGTCCCGTCACTGGCGCCAAACTTCGTGTAAAAAGTGGTATGTTACAGATGGATTTGCTCTTAAGTAATTCTTTTTTATTTCATTAAATCACTTGCCCATCTATTTCTCATGTTTCTTATTATTATACTAGTACGGCAAAATATTGGACGTTTTCATTTTAAGTTGATTTAAATTCATGAATTCACTAAATTATTTGAATATGCTTATAATAATAATAATAATAATAATAATAATAATAACGTCCCATAGGCTTATCGCCCGTTGGGGCCGGCCGCGGTTATTATTGTTATTAATCTCCACATGCAGCCGGGTTCTTTTGTCTTTTCTTTTTACAGACGGCGGTATCTGCACCCTCTTCCGTCCAACATACTGACTAAAGATGTAGTCAGTACGGATGACTCATGTGGAATGAGTCATTTTTTAGACAACTTAGCCGTTAGTGACTTGTCCAGGGTCATTCCATGAAAGATGATACTGAGGTTTGAACACAGTACCTTGTGGGTGCGTGTCGAACAACGTAACCACTCAACCATGGCGGCCAATATGCTTATACATTATACTAAATACATTTGATTCTAGTAAATCTGATATAGGTGATATTTTTCTTGTGGTTACGTCTGATGATGGTGTCTGTAAATAGATACTGAAATACCACATGGTGTATTGAGAATAACATTAACTGCTATTATATTTATTTTTTATTTTATTGCATTATTGTGAAGAATTTTTTTTAAAACGATTTTTACATCTTTAATGTTTAGATATTCAGTATACACATGAAAATTCGAACAATCAGCTTGTTATAAATGAAAAACCTCATTCAACACATGCACGATTAACAACATGATAAGTTACACAAGAACACGCATGTTGTATCTTTTTTTAATAGCAAAGAGTTAATTGATGGTGATATTGTTGTTGAAGACAATGATGATGTTGATAAAGAAAACCTATTTACAGATGATAATGACAATCAATCTGTATTAGCAAATGATTATCAACGTGAGGATTATGGTGATTATGATGGCGATGATGAAGATTACAATGATAAAACAAATGATGATAATTTTGACGATGGTGATGATGATAACGAAATTAATGATGAATACTCTACTGATGATAAAAATGATGATGAAAACAATAGTGACAATGACAATGATCATGATAAAAATGATTGATGAAGATGGCAATGCTGTTGATGTCGATGATAATGATGACAATTATGATATTTCAACATCTGTCAATTCACAAGATTTTTTATATGATTATTGGAGAGAAGATGCTGAAGTTGATCCCAATGATCCAACATTAACAAAAGAACAGCAATTAACCTTATCTGTATTGACTAAATGTCGTAAACTAATTGATATGATTCGAAAATCTTCAATTTTAACTTTGTATTTTAATAAACATCGTACAGAATTAAAAGAAACTCGCAACGTACTTCGTGATATTTGTACACGTTGGAATTCTTCATATACAATGATTGATTCATTAAAGACCTTTCGACTGATAATTGAAAAGTTATACAATGATAAACATCGTTTAAATATAAAAAATGATCAAGTCGAAAAATTAAATGAATTGGAAATTACTAGTGCTGAATGGAATCATTTAAATCAATTACATCATGTTTTAGAAGTTTTTTATAACGCTACGAATATTGTTTCTGGAAAAAAGTATCCTTCAATGAGTTCGGCTTATTTCATCTTTATCAAATTGAAATCATTCCTAATTAAAGACTCACAGGATAATGTGACTGTTAAAAGATTGAAAAAATCATTATTATCAAAAATGATTCATTATTTTGAAGAAGATGAAGTTCAATTAAATCTTTTAAAAGTAAGCAAAAAGCAAGTAATAGTATTACTCTTACTATTAAACAATCATTCATACAGTTTTTCATTGCTCTTAAGGACAATAATAAGCATAAAGATGGTAATATAAATGTTTTGTTGTAGTTACAAGTATGATAAGTTCAAGCATGGGATATATTTGATGTTACGGTACTGTAACAAAAAATACAAATCACGAACTTCCACTATTTCATAGCTATAAACAAAAGAAAAATTTCAATGCATATTGCAAATATTTTTTTTCTCTTACAAAAATTTAACATGTTTCTCTTCAATGAATATTTATTTTCTAATCGAACAAAATACTTTAAAATTGTTTTATCTTTGACTACTATTTTTAGAACTGAAATAGCCTTTGCTTCGAATAAATTGCGATGAAACTGAGTACTTTCTGATCATATAGAGGTCTAAATTAAATGTCACAACGTTAACATGTTTACCAAATGAATTCATGGTTAGATGAATTCAAAATAGTTAAAAGTGAACAGTTTTATGGGAATTTTCTTTTATTAAGTTGAAATGCTTGCACCTTATAATGTAGTTTAGATCATATTATGAATACAAACTTGAACGAAACTATATAACGGTTCAATGTCAGTAACTAAACTAATATATAATGTTAGTACTTACGGTAAATAGAATTAACTAATTGTTTAGATGTTTGATAAAATTAAAAAAATATCCGTACGGACATTAGATTCATAGGTCTCCTATCATTTTTCAGTAGAAAAATCGATAATTTTGAATACAAGATTTTTTTATTATAAGAAAAGAACTTATAGCTAAAAAAAACTGTTATTTTGTAATCTTGTGTATTTCCATTTCAGTTTCATAGTTATTTTGATCCAACTGGATATCGAGCTTTATCTGATGCTGATAAACGATCAATCGAATATGATATCAAACAAATGTATGCTGATGATCCAATAAATATCAATAGTTCATCGCCATCATCATTAAGAACAGCTGAACTAGTTAATTCAGAGACGAATTCTACATCTAATACAACGGCAACAACAGCTCTTACAAATTCATCATCATCATCAAAAATTTATGTGAATAGAAAACTTACAGCCATGGAAACATTTTTGAACAGTGTTGGTGACCACATTGTCCAGAATAACACTTCTACTTCACGCACAACAATAATTGAAGAACTACGTAATTATCGATCATTAGTTAATAAGTATAACACTCAAAATCTACCAGATACATCTTCTTTTCTTACATTTTGGAAAACCTATGAATTTACATTGCCTTACCTTTTCAAATTAGCACAAAAATTTGGATGTACACCAGCAACTAGTGTTCCTGCTGAATCAGCATTTTCAATAGCATCTTTTGTTTACAGAAAAGAACGATCACGATTATCAGCAAAAAACTTAGAAGCCACCGTTTTCTTAAAAGTAAGTATAAGAACTATATATTATATCGCATAATGAAGTATTCTCTATTCAATAACAAATTGATTTCAAGAAAGTGACTTGATATAATACTATTTCTCATTCTTTTAACATAGACAAGAATTTTCTCTCATATAAATATTCTACCGATACGATTGACTCTTCATCATAAAAAGAGTACAAGTGCTAAAGTTTGTCTATCGAAGAACTTTGGATTATTAAAGAACAACGCTTTTTAATCTTTCTATTCATTCCTTAATAAACTTTACCACTACCAATGGCTGCGTTAGAGACTGTGCCAAAGAATATTATATTATTCATAATACAGATAAAACAAAATGAATACTAAACAGATCTATGTAAAGATCAATTGGTAATTCTACAATGGACACGTCACAAAACTCTTATAATCATGGTCACACTCAATAAACCATTTCCTAATAATCTCCTCAGACGATATTTGCATGAGCGAGGACCTGGTAGAGATGAGAATTATTATCACTCTTATAAATCAGAATAAATAATTCATTACTGCTATAAATAATAATAACAACTTTCTTTTTCTTATAAATGATAATAATTATTTCTTGCTACAAAAAACAAGAAAAATTATTTTTCTTATAAAAAAGAACTATTTTGTTTTCCCTATAAATAACAATAACTAGTTTTTTTTTTTAAAATTAACAAGAACAATTCTTTTTAGAAAATAAGAACTACTTGTACGTTAACTTTGTAAATAAAGAGAGCAACTTTTTTTTCGTATAACTAATGACTAGTTTGTTGTTACAGATGATAAGAACGATTTTTTTCCAGAAATAACGATAACTAGTTTGATGTTGTTGTAAATCATAAGAACAATTGATTTTCATATAAACAAGAAGAACTAGTATGTTGTTGCTATAACACGAATAGTATTTCTTTATAAAAAAGATTTTTTAGTTTGTTGTTATAAATAACAATAACCTGTGTCTTGTTATTGTAAATAACACGAACTACTCCTTTTAGAAATAAATATTACTAGTCTTTTACCTTTATAAATAACTAGAACAATGTTTTTTCTTATTAATAAGAACTTTTTTGTAAATCAATAAGAAGAATAACTTTTTCCTTATAAATAAAAGTTGATAGCTTGTTCCTGTTGTAAATAAGAAGAACAATTTTCTTTTTCTTATAAATAACAATAGTTATTTCTTATCGTTATAAATAACAATAACAATTTTGTTCTTCTTCTTATACCAAGAACTATTTCTTTGTTCTTATAAATAACAATAACTAGTTACTCGTTCTTATAAATCACAAGAATACTTTTTCCTTACAGGTAAGAGTGAGCAGTTTGTTACTGTTGTAAATAACAATAACGATTCTTTCTCTCATAAATAACAATAACAATTTTGCTTTTCTTATAAACGAAGAAGAAGTAGCCGGTTATTGTTATAAATCAGAAGAGCATTTTTTTCTTAAAGAGTAGAATGTCGCAACCTAAATATGCTAAGACGTCTAGTATCTTTTTGTGAGAGAATCATCTTATAATTATTTCGTTTATCATTTTAGGACAAAATTGATGAATAAATATACAAAGGCATCTATACATGTTTTTCAACTGCTCAAATATTTGACTTTTCACGATTTTCAAGCATTGTATATTTTTTCTTATGTATCTGGTCAAACTATCATAGAATTTTTTATGTATTTTTTTCTTATATATATTATTTATATATGACGTTTTTTTTTTATTCTTCTGTTATACATTCTATTCTTGGCGATTAACATAAAATTTTTGCTTGAATTAGGATGATATTAGATATAACAATATGGAATACATAATAAAAGTACAACTTTAGTTTTACAAAGACTTACAGGACATTTTATTTTTCTAATAATATTTTGGACTTTGATGTTTAATTTTACAAAAATATAAAACTTCTTCCTGTATTGCCTAATGTAAATTACTAATACTGCTGCAATATAGCAATAATATTTTACATTATCATGATTGGCACATAGAAATATAAGAATATTCGATCAATTCCAATGCTATCGCTTGTATCAATATTTTATCAGCTGAAGAATTAATGAACTACAATATATTAGGTAAGAGGGAGTATATTGTTCTATTAGCGGAATAAACGTCAAACGACGAAGCATCCAGTCATAACTGGGACCCAGTTACTGGCACTGGTGCACACCTAGGTGTGGATGTGGGTGTGAGTGTGGGTGTGGGTGTGGGTGTGGGTGTGAGTGTGTGGGTGTGGGTGTGCGGTTGGGTGGATTGGTGTGGCTGTGGCTGTGGCTGTGAGTGAATCTTCCCTTCCCTTCACCACACCCACACCACACACCCCACCTCACACCCACACCACACCCCACACCCACACCCTCACCCACACCCCACACCCCACACCCCACACCC